GAAGCCCCTGGGCTTCTAATACACCTTCCACATCGATGGCTCCAGAGGGGGCTTCTAATACGGGGGGGCTTCTAATATGGGGGAGGCTTCTATTATGGGGGGGTTTACAAGGATCATGCGTATAAACCGGTGATGAGTTTATCTGTTATTGGAGATTAATCAACAGACGATGGTTTTGAGGTTTATTGATTTCCAATGCAGATCTTTTTTATTTACCTTAATAAACAAATCCGAATATAGAACAAATTTCACAATACAATTTCCAACCTAGAAAAGCGCTCTATTTTTATCTATCTAGTAATGTAGTTTTCAATTTACTATTTACGTGTGTAATGTTATAGTAGTAATTTCCATAATTTCCACAACATCTGATGTGTACGTTGTTTCTTTTCTTTTACTGTACACAACAAAGGAAAGTCAAAAAATGAGAGAACAGAAGCCAGGAGAGAGGATAAAATGTATACTGTGAAACTTTATTACTATTATAGCATATTGTTTCTATCGTCAACGACTACATGTTAAGATCTGTACTCTTACATGGTGTTCTTTATATTATTAATGTATCGCTTTCAATTTTAGTTTGATTAATTTGTTTGTACCATTGATAAAGATTTAACTAATAAATCGAAAAATTTGGTAGCTCTTTGCTCACTTATTACCAATATATGAGTAATCAAACTTTATACTTCAAATACTTTTTTTCACAAGAAACCGAACGATTCCACACAATTTTTATGTCTCGAAATTAGAAAAAGTTGCTTCGGGCTAACATCAAGTATGCACATTTGGACTTGTCTTTTATTATAATAGGAAATGCCAGTGTAGATGTTAGAGCGAAGATAGGAGCAGCGAGAAGAGAGAAGAGAAGAGGAATCTGAGCTATATAGATGAAAACAATTTGCCTGGTTGTCTGAGGGGGTACAACGAGGGTTCAGAAACCCTTAACACCTCTGTTCAAAGTGCTACAAGTTTTTTTCGAGGCCTCACAACCGCTCGAAAACCGATAAATCTGAGTCCTTCAAATTGATGACCTCTATTTCTATAAATCAAAATTTCACCTGCTAAGAGACCGAACCGTCGGCGAAGACCCATCGGCATTGTATTTGGTGTAACCGAAATGCTTCTTGAAATAGTAATTGGAAACTTCTTTATTCTGTACATAGTCAATTATTGTGAACAACAACATAGAGAGGAGGTTCACCCCGCCACTTCCCAAATATGTGCCCTCAAACCATATCAGTTTAAAGAGGACATTTGATTACATATATCCTTGAGTTCGTTCGATGAACTGACAACTATTGATAGAATTATTAATTAATTACTTGTTGTTATTAATTACTATAATTAACAATAACAAATTATTTTAAAATTTCAGCATTCGTCTTTTCTATTTCAAATAAGCGGTTTGCGGAATAAGCAGAAAGTTTGCGGTTCGGCAGATGATAAAAAATGTATCTTTACTGTACTCGAACAGAAGAGTCCCGGCTCGAACCTATTATACCACGCATTCTTCTTCGAATTTCTGTGTTCTATTTCAAATTATTCAACGTTTTGTATCAGCAAAAGACAAATTTTTCTTCTTTAGATTAAAAGTTAAGCATTACGGGGCAGTCTAGAGGCATGTTCTGAAAATTTCCAATGTCGTATTTTATATCTTATGAAAATCTCTAAAAGACGAGCCGCAAGCACATTCAAAATGTCGAATTTCTTTCTAACCATAGAATCGTGATCATAGAGAAACGTAACAGACATATCGGTTACAACAGGCATTGGTTGTTCGATTATGATCATAAGCGGTGCATCCCTAGCTGGAAAACAATGATTTTATCAATAAAAGAAAAACAACTTTGCCCAAACCGCTCGTGATTATTTACAAAGAATTTTAAATATAACCCATTGATAAAGCTTTTCAAGGGCTACAAAGTATCTGTATATTCTCTTCTTTTTTTTTATACATTGAGGATATCTCATCGCTTGTTTTTCTATACTAGACACTTAGCACTTATCTTTATTCGTTAAAAATCTTAATCAATGTTACAAGAAGAAAAAAAGAAGACAAACAGCATTCAATGTATAAAAATCAATATAAATCGTTTGAAGAATGTAAAAGATTAGTGAATATATGTATTTGTCAAGAAATCAGAGAAATCTTACAATGTATAGATTCGATGTAAAATATATACAGTCACTATTAATTTTAGGAGAAGCACAAAATAAATATTAATCTCTAGTCTAAAAGATGGATATCGATGATAATTAAAAGTTGAATGCAATGTTTTTTTGCTAAACTATACTATTCGATCTATCATTTCAGTTTTTCAATTTATTATCTTTACAATCGTAGAAGTGAAAACTAACGAACCTTTAAAACTATACATTTTGGAAGTAAGAGTAGTAGATTACATTGCATGAAGTTTAAAATTTATTTTGTACTTTCGCTAAGTTTACTACCCATTTGAACTTTAGGGAATTAATGTGTACTGGTTTAGAAAAAATCTCATATTAAATTAACTCAAATTAATTTTTTTCTGATTAAAAGTTAATTTGAATTAATTTAACATGATAAACTAATTCAAATCAATTGAATGAACTAGTGCGAATTAGTTTATCAAGTTAAATTAATCCAAATTAATTTTTAATCAGAAAAAAATTAATTTGAGTTAATTTAATATGAGATTTTTTCTAAACTAGTGCGCATTCATTCCCAAAAGCTCCAATGGGTAGCGATTGTATACATTCCCTACCTCTATCTATATATTCTGCGTACAATCGCTAATTCTGTACTTTCTTCATAATTTGTAAACATTCGCAAGTTGAGAGAAGTTTTTTAGATATCACTTTTTTGAGCGTTATGTGTTTGTTACGCGTTCCAGTAATCGATGACAAGTCCTTTCTCCTTATATGGAGTTAATAATTTGACAAATGCTTTATGTTCAGGATGCACAAGATATTCATCACGATCTTGCTCATTTCTAAATGTTAATAAATAGCAATGTGTAAAACCTTGACTTAAACCTTCTTTACTAACATTTTGACCACATTCAAATGATTTTATGCATGAAATTTTATTTTCTAATTCACAAAATGCATCTTCCACGTTTTTCAAATCATTCGATTTTGTATCATCTTTAAATTTTAATAGAACAACATGTCTTAATAATTTATTCGAGTTCGCCATTTGTATAAAGTTGGTTAAATCTAAGCAGTGACGAGTAAAATACTCTTTACAACGTATTGTGAAGTTAAAGTGAATTAAATGTATATCACAGTTTTTCTCTTTTGTTTATCCTTCTCGCGTGCTCTCTTCAACAGCACCTTGAGAGTATTACATTTAATAGTTTATCAATGTCTCTTTTTTCTTTTTCATCGTAGACAACAGAAGCGGTAAAAACAAATATTAGAAGAAAACATTTGTCGGTCGTCTCCACAAGTCGCCGCATAGATGTTGAATGATTCTTTTGAGTGTACCAGAGTTTGCAGTGAGTTTGTCGGGATTATTCGAGAGTAACAGGACTAATAGAACTCGTGCTCCTGATGACGAATATCACATTTAAAACATTTTAAAACAACGGCATGGTGTTCTTGTAGATCTGTGAAAATCCCATTTTCCAGCAGAAAAGTCCTTTTGTAGGCATGTTCACCGTTTTTTAGTGAAACACTCTCATGAGCTGATATCGTCAGATGAGCTTCTATATATGAAGAGCTGCAAAATCACAAGCGAACAAAAGTTCCAAAATGTTGAGCACGTTCTCAGGAAAATGTTTAAAAAGGTCGTTTTTTCCGAAAAATAGGCGTTTTTCTAAACCATTTTTTCCCCATTAAATCATATCAACACACAAGACAACACAATGTGCATTCGACGCATCTTTTCAAGGGTAGTAAATTTACACATTCGTTCTGCTAAAGTTGATCTGTCACACGAATAGCGTAAAGTTGAATAAAAATAAATATTAACCTTCTTTTGAACGAAGAAAGAAAACCTGTTCGTATGAATTCATTTGACTCGATTTAGTCTCTAATAAACAAATATTTCCATCATTAACAGGAAAATCAAAGGCTAGATGCTCGTTTGTGTTATTTGTCACTATGTACTCTTGTTCGAAGCTTGTATCATCATTATTAGATTTAAATAGATTTAATATAGATTCAAATTGAACGAATTGGTCAATAAATATTTTTATGTTATCTTCACTTTCTTCATCTTTTATATAATCAAGAACCGCGGTCCAAAATTTTCTTCATGCTGGCATTTCGGCATATTTTTCCATTGTTGCTGTTGATATGTGATATTTATCATTATGTCGTTTTGTTTCTATAACTGACACAGAGAATGCATTGTTTGTGCTGACGATAAACGACTTAACTTAATGTGACCCTCTTTAGTAAGTGGTATTTTTTCTATATAATCTTTACAGCCTAGA